TCCATCTCCCCTAGTATAGTTTTTTCATCATGTATCTTACATATATGTATAATTAACTAATTAATAAAAGAGATAGAAGATAGACCTCTCTTTAAAAAAAAAAAAATAAAAAAAAAAAAATAACATCTCTGTATTTAACTTATAAAATACTTGTTTAAAAAAATGTTTAACTAATTGTATAAAGAAGTCTTATTAAAATATATAAGTAAAATTTAATTAAAAATATAATCCAAATAACCAAAAACTAGAATAATAAAAGAAGTAGTAAGTACAAGAATAAGTTATAATAAAAAATTGATGTTACTAAATTAAGAAATATTTTAAATAAACTATAACAAGAATTTTATAAAAAACTAATATATAAAGATAATTTAAATATTTAAAATATATCTAAAGATACTAAGTCAGATAATAATTATAACTATATATATAAAAATATATAGTAAAGAAGTTTAAGATTTACCAATTTCTGAAATTTATAAGATTTATAATAAAACAATATTATTAAAATTAGTATAACTTTTTAGATATAACTAAAATTGTCTTAAATTAAGTTGATAATATATTAAAAACATATGTTATATGTAATATAATATTATTAAAATTAGTATAACTATTGAATATAATTAGAATTGTTCTAAATATATGCAAAATAACTTTTAAACTATATTATAATAGATAATACTAAAAAAGATAATAATATTTAATGCTTGTAATGATATAAAGATCTAAAATATCTACAAAAATAATGATAACAGAAACCTAACTTGAAATATGTATTATTAATATTTGAATTAAAAAATTAGCAATAATATTAGAATCCTAATTTGAAATATATATTTATAATATTATCAAAAAATTTTAAAAAAATAAATAATAAACAAACCAAAAATAAACAATCATAAGAATCATTAATCTAAAATTACTTATTTGGAAGTTGTTATAGATAATAACATAATGAAAGATACAAGGAATTAATATTAATTAAAAATGATAGAATTGAAATGTATTGAAATTAACACAAGTAGCAAAACCTGAACTTCTTATTAAGCCAAGTGATTTAATAACAATGTTATCTATAAATGTTAGAAACTCTGACTGCAATTGTTAACCTTGATATAGCATGTAAGATGTGCAACAAAATGATGTAAGCATTGTTAGAAGTAACCACAGAAGGTCAACAATCCATGTTGGGTTTACATAACCTAGATTAGGTAATAAAATAACTTTGTAAAAATATGTATGAAGGCTTTTTCCACCCACTAAGGTTAAATAAAAATCAGCGATAATATATATTTTAAATATCATTGTTCAATTTTTTTTTAAAAAAAAATAATTCTCAAAATTTATTTAAACAGATCACTCTGTAAAGAAATTAACAGATTAATATTTGTTCGTAATTTAAAATTTTTGAAATTTATAAGAATCAAAAATAATATTGACTAACAAATAATATACATGTATAAACTGATGAAACTGTTTCTTATTTGTAATTCGAAAAATGAATTTCGATAAAATTATGATCTCAGATGTATAACTATTATACAAATAATAATAAATAATAATAGAATTCTTACAAATTTTAATTGGCTTTTACAATATATAAATTTTTAAAAACGATTCCCAATTTGGCTTTTCAGACAAAAAAACAATTATCTTGCTATTTAAACAAAAAGAACTTTTATAATAAATAGTATATAAAATTTTTTTAAAACTAATCCAACAATGGATCTATATAATCCACTTTTGCAGTTTGAACTTGTTTTAGTTCTTGTTTTTGTTTTAGACCTTCATCTTCATTAGTTGTCGATATTTGTTCAATTTCTCTCAAAAGTTGTGTAACTTCAAAACATCTACTTTCATAAATAGCCTGACTATGTATTTTATATTCATGATGCCTGCCTTCTTCACTTTTGTGTCTAAATCCTCCTGTATACATTGAATCATTTTTTTCATCGTGATAAATTACTTCAGTTGAACGACATCGCAAAGCTATTAGGATCGTTTCAACTTCAGCTGCATTAGGTCTTGAAGTGGGATCATCATCCCAACATCTCCACATTAATTCCGCATAATGATTTGGAGTTCCATCTACTAATTCTGGTCGTAAACCATCTCTAATTTGTGTTACCAATTTTGTATTATGCGGTTTATTGCAAAATGGCAGCATACCTGATGATGCTTCCCATAATATAGTACCAAAGCTATAAATATCACTTTCTTTGGTATATGGTTTTCCTTTGAACAATTCAGGGGCCATGTACGGAATTATTCCATTTATTGTAATTTCAGGGCTACTAATTTGACGAACTGGTCGACACATTCCTAAATCACCGATAACTATTGGTTCATTAGTTGATGATGGAGAAAGAAGTAAATTTCCACTATGGAGATCTCTATGGATCCACCCCTCTTCATGAATGATTTTAAGACCGTGTGCGACGCTTTGAAGGAGAGAAATTTGGCCTTCCCAACTAAGCGTTCTAAATTCGTTTCGTATATATGTACGGAAATCACCTTTGGTAGCATAATCAGTTACCATTATGTATTCATTTGTTACAGGGTCTTGAGTTATTCCATAACAACGGAGAACAAAATAATTCGATTCGCAGTGAAGATGCGCAATCAACTGAATAATAATAATGATTGATTATTAAGAATTTATATTATCGAAAAAGAAAATTTATACATACCTCTTGGAAAAAACTAGGACCAATATTTTGCGAATCTTTTAACCTTTTTAAAGCGACTTTAACATTACCTTTCCTATCATATCGTTGATTATATCTATTCCACTTGATCATGGGACCACTTTTCCAAATCGCATAAAAAACCGTACTAAAACCACCTTTACCAATCTCTTTAATGTCCTTAAAATCACAATATGGTATCCATTCCACACATCCTTCACGTGAAGGAGCGAGAGTTTGAGTATACTGAATATATTGATCAACATGTTTATTTCCGCTCGTCCAACTTCCAAACTTATCACGTAGTCTAGAAGTTTCACATGTTTGACACCACCAATATAAATTATCTAAATTAGATTCACATTTGAAGCAACTGAACTGATCGGGTGAAACATAAATTGGATCAGGGATTGGAGTAATTAAGGGACCAGTATCAGGAATTGTGTGTTGTCTAACAGAAGCTGATAGACTTGATTGTTTATGAGAAGGTAAATTTACTAGAACCAACTCTTTAGGAAACTTAAAATTATAAAAACAACTAGAATATTTGGCATCAATATGAAGTTTACTAAATCTAATTATAGAAGAAAAAAAATTATTTTGTAGCTGAAACTCATCAGCTTTTTTAAATTCTTTGTAGACAGTATTATGCTCATTTGTGTTGTAATTACCATAATTAGAACCAGAAACAACTAGTTGATTTCTCCAAGAATTGAAAATACCAGCAATTTCTCTCATATCAGGACGATTTTCTGGAAATGCATCCCAACACATCTTAATCAATTCAGTATAAAAAGATGGCACATGATCTGGAATAGAAGGACGTGTTCCCTCCACGATTTTCCTAGCCAATTTGACATCATGGGGACAATCAGCATAAGGTAACGAACAAGTGGCGACTTCCCACATAACAAAGGCAAAAGAATAAACATCAGATTTTTGGGAGAAATTTGAACCAGTAATAACTTTTGGATCAATATATGGAAGGACACCATGAACAACGTATTCATCAGATGAATTAGTACAAGGTAATTGAGGCATTAAACCAACATCAGAAATAATTGGGTCTTCGATATCCTTGCCAATTAAGATATTGTTTGGATGTAGGTTCTTATGGATTATTCCTAGATTATGCAGATTCGCCAACTCAATTGCAAGAGTATGTAACATGTTAAGCCTGTGCGACCAAGTGAAAGATTTAAAATTATTCGGATGTTTCAAGTATTCTCTAAGATTGCGATTTGGCAAGAATGGCATAACGACCATATATCTAAGGTTTTCAGGATGAAAACTGACACCAAGGTATGGAAGAACATGACCTGATTTGTATATACATGATTTACAGTTGGAAAGCTATAACGAATAACAATAATAAAAAGAAATAAATTGTGTTATATACAAATATAAATTAACATCACGTATTCAAAAGAATAGTAATATAGTACATACATCAGAGAAATATATTTCATCATAATTATTAGTTAAACCGATATTTTTTAACGCTACTTCATTTATTTTAGTACTCGAATGAGATCTAGAACCAGAGCCCAAGAAAGTTGGGCTCGCTAAAATAAGACCTTCACTAGTCCTAACTGGATCCAATCCGGACTTAAAATCAATCCAAATGGGAGTACAACTTGAACAATGAGATTCCTCGTTGCTATTAATCAAGAACTTACTAATCGACGCGTTTTTGATGTGCAAAGCTTTAACATTTGTATAATTAAGCCAATTCGGACGGCAGTTGCTACACCAATTATTAGAGTCGTGAGACCCACATCTACCAGATATTTGAACAATATCAATAGAACTTGAATCTGAAAGTAAATCAGATGATCTTTGTTGTTTTGAGGAAGTAGATCTTCTAGAACTCCTAGGATTGTCGCCATCATATATTGTTTGGTTATCATCACTATCAGAATAAAAAAAATCAGAGTCATTTAACAATTCGATCGGATTGTCATCATCAGAACCTGATTCTTCATCATCAGCCGATTCATCATAAATTTCATGGCTAGATGAAATACTTATTACATCATCATCGCAATTACTAATAATTTCGAAATCGGATATTGGAGAAGATGATGATTGGTCATCGTCTTCTAAAGTATCAATTCTGGAGATGTTTAAATTGTTCATTTTATTGCTATGATAAAATAAAAATAGGAATAAGGTTATAGACGATCGACCACATAAATATCCATTAAGTTTACAAGTATTTTTATCGTCGTAAAAAGAATTTTTATGTACACTTCCTACGACACGACAATAAAATAATCATACCATGGTCAAATCACTTTTACTCTGTCAAAATGGTTTACTATTTACATAGAGACTGGCAAAAGTTTTATACAAACTTTTTTAACATTAACACAAAAACGAAAAGTGAAATAAATTGGGTTTCTTTTTTTTATTTTACTTTAAAACCGTGAGAAGAAAATAAAAAACTATCCACACTGCTATTTATGTTATAAAGGTAACTGCTATTTATATTGTATAAAGGCAACAATCAATAATAATAATTGTAATAATAATAATACATAATAAGCTCATCTGATATGGTGATAAGCCATAGCGGAATACGGAACGAAAAGTCCGTCACTCCATAGAATAAAAAAGCAAATTCATTGACAATCTTAAGTCACAAATTCTTACTACAGCATTGTGAGCACGTAGGATTTCTAATTGTGGGTAGGTATTTATCTTTAAGTACTCAACTACTAAAGAGGTTGTTACCGATATAGTACGGACCAACTTTAAATTAATCGGCCACAGTAATGTATAGTTATTCTTACTTTGACCTACATGACCATGTACTGTGGATCTTTTTCGTTCACTATGTACAAATATATTTTTATTCAATAATAAGCTTAAGCTTACATATTTGTATGACGCGTATTATTTGTTAGGATCAACGCAGTCTCAAAGATCTGTATATCGATATACTAATGTTTTTGTGATCCTCTTCTAAGTTCCATCCGGCATTAAATTAATTCACATTGTTAAGTAATACAACGGCTGAATCGATTTTGGGTAAACCTACTAAAATTAGGTACAATGACTATGTTACAGAGAGTGCGCACGCGTAGTGGCGTCATGTTTCTTTAAATAGGAAATATTTCCAGAAAAAGATATTTAAAACTTGTTTAGATCCTTAAATAACTGAAGGTACATACATAATGTTGACATGTCGGGAAATTAAATCCGGATACTACGCTCTACTTTGATCAAATATCATTTATATGCAGGTTTGTAGATTCGCGGTTAGACAGGTTAGATCGCGGGTTATACAAAGCAAGCAAAAACTTACCGCTATACTAATCCATTTTCGATACTTCCGAAAATAACGATAAGCGCCAATCATCTGTTCCTAGATTAGCGGGAAGTCTTTAGCTGAATTATTCCCGCTCATTTGAGATTTATGAAGTGAGTTTATTTTCGAAATTATACGGTAAAAGCTCTAAATGAATTAGAAGTATTTGTTTAAAAATTCACTAATGCAAAGCACTGCCACCTATCACAAGTAATCTAGTTATTTTTCATACATTAAAACTGACTAAGACCGGATTCAATATATGTATTAAACTGACTAAGACCGGATTCAATATACGTATTAAACTGATTCCAAACTCCGGTACGCCTAATTCGAATATCAATCTTGATTGTACAAAATATTATTGTCGTGCCACTTGTATGTAACTGAAGTTGTGCTTGACTGAAATTAGATGATCTTGTTCACGCAGATACGTCCAAAGCCATTTTTGACATGTTCAACATTCAAACGTCAAAGCTCATCTAAGCTTTAATAATATGATTATATATATTACATGGTTTTTTTTGCAATCCCATTCTTTTTGATTACCAAGGTCCATTTTCAAAAAAAAAAAGCCCCTTCTAACCCTAATAAAAAATTGTGTCTTTTTTTATGAATCAAAAAAATGTACTCTGAATATTTTTTTGGCTTAGAAAATTAAAATAGTTTATCTTAAAATTTTAAGTAATTTTAATATTTCAAAATGTCCTAACTTTGTCCAAAGACCCAGAGGTTGGAACCGGTTTTAATAATTCGGGCTTACCACGTGAATTTTGTGATATTTTGGAAATTCAATTAAATTTTAATAAATTCTAAATATCACAAAATTCATGTGATAAACCCGAATTATTCCAACCCCTATCCCTATCTTTAATAATAAAACAGTATATATTTTAAAAATCGGTAATGAGTTGTACAAAAATTTATCTTTATCGTTTAACAATGGATTGATCTTTACAAGCTGTTTGAAAATTTTAACGTCAGGAAACTAAGACAAGTTTTTCATAAAATTTTACAGTATAAATGTTAACGTTAATGGTTTAGTCGTCAATAAATTCCCGCAGTCAAATGCTTGAATAGATCGGAAACAACTACCTCAGTGTCACGTTACACCTAATCTTGTAGTATAATTGGCCAATCGCTGTCGATCAGTGGTAGTTGTCAAATTTTTGTTTAACCATATGCGGAAATCATCGGTGTTATTATTATATCTGTCCGGGACCTTCCGTCATATCACGTTATCAAATGCATAAATCCCATAATTCCAAATTTTCCGAAATTTTATATAAAATACTCAGCAAAAACATTTGTTGTTCCCTATCCTCTCAAGCCTTTTGGCTAAGATCAAGTGTAGTATCTGTTCTTTTCAGCTTAATATCTGAAATGATCCACACTGTGGATCTTCGATATTAAACTAATTTTTGTCGTTGGGGGGCGGAATCCCTGGCTTGCTACATTCCCCTCCACGGGTGTCCCTAGTTTTGCACTGCCTCTAGGTGACGCCCACTTTTTAGAATTAAAAGCGGGTTGGGTATGGGTGTAAAGATGAATATGTAAGAGCAATAACTAAAATGTACAAATGTATATTATTACGTATGTATTTTGGTCAAAAGTCGTACGCTAATATATGGTCGTGCAAGTTTGAAGAAATATATCCGTAAAAAAAAAAGTCGTCCTTTACTATGTAGTATGCGTTTTTAATTTCTAATAAAAATTTTATAATCTGTCTTTAATAAAATTTTATTCTTTAGAAGCCAGTTTTGCATACATCTAATATGTTACGTATACGTAAGTAAAAAAACAAAATAACGTATTTAGGTTTTTTTACACAAATATAAATATAGGCCATATGTACAGTATATAATCTGCGCCTCGTGAGATATTCAAATAAACGTTATATAAATAAATTGTGAATTTCGCTTATCTATTAATTGTTGATAATATATCTGATATGAAATAGTTTTGCTAGTCAAAGAACAAAGGAAATCAAGAGATCATTTCGTTTATTAGTAGCATTTAAAAATGTAGGGATGTGAATCAAATCGAATCTGATAATTGTTTTTTAATCATTTAATATTTTCTCTTAACGTTAATTCAATTATGTTAATTTGATTATCGATTCCTGATATTATTTGCTAATAAAAGTGAAAATTTAGTATATTACATTAATTTTTAAACATGATCATGTTAAAAGGTTAATTGAATTGAATTCGCCCTCGCGAACTGAGTTTACTTACAATTATGTTTTAACCTTATAGTACATAGACTATTATTATTGTTTATTATATAATTTCTATATAATCTAAACAAAGAACAGTTATTCTTTATTAAAACAAAAAGCACTAAAAACACACCTATAATCTGTTCTCACACATATTTAACATTATTAAATTTCATTATAATGCAGTCGACCCCCTTCCCGATTTTATCACTTCCGATCTTCTTGCAATTGCAGTCTTATGACTTACTGAAAAAACCCATAAATAAATATTTTATGTATTTCTAATCTTTGTATATCCGATTTTATCCGCTAGCTGACAATAAAATCGGTCACCGATTATACATACAAGAGATATTACTATTACAGATTTTATAATCTACAGATGCTATTAAACGCAAGTAGAAAAGAAATTTTTGGTTCGTTACAAAGCAATCGACCAAATTATTGAATCGTGCTGAAAACATTCGCACATAATCAATAGAAAAATTCAAGTGTGCTCTAGCGTACAACTTATCAATTAAAATTATACATAAGATTATAGAAAATTATAATCCAAACAGATTAACAAAATATATATGAAACTTACTCAATGTTACTGTACTCCGCATCCTTTATTAGGACCATCATTACTACCTTCATTATTTGAAGGATCAAATGATTGGCCATACATGTTATTGTTGATAGGTGAACCAGGATCTGATAAATCCATATCTGAATTGGAACGATTATTGATTAATCTCTCCTTAATTTCTGAATCCATTTTGGTTTGTGAAAATCCAACATGAAAGGTCTGTTCTTTATTCACAATAATATCTTCAATTTCTTCACGAAATTCTCGCCCAATATATTCTAAATCTGGCAGTCGCAACGAATTCGCGATTCCAGTTCCGAATGGTGCAACTGCCTGCCCAAGCTGTTTACCACTTCTAAAATCATTATGAAGTTTACGTCTACGGTTAATGACCTCTCGACGAATGAACAAAATGGATGATAAAATAGAGTGTCTTTGTAAATCCACGACTATATCACCATTTCTTGATGAAATTCGTTCAAGAGTGCAAACACGATTAACGAGTGTATTAAAAGCTCTTTCAAAGTGTTCTCGAATTTTGGGCATGATTGTTGTAGCTTTAGCTATATCATTGGCTATATAAGAAGAAATGTTAAAAATTACTAAACGTTATTATACAATAATCTAGGCGAGACATTGTATAGTAATTATAGATTACATTTTTGTACAGGATCTTGAATACATAATTTTTCTTGGCATTTTGTAGCCCAAGGTTCATTTTCCTATATGTTGAAAAATCATAAACACAATTAAGTTTTTGAGAATTAAACCAATTTACCATTAAACAACTTACTTTTTTACAATATCCTATGCCCATACCAAGATCATCATCTCTTTCAACACGGATAGCAAGTTGCTTATAGTTGAAATCAACACCATAAAGTTCGAAAAATTCGATAAGTAACACCCCAAGATTTTCGTCGTTGGGGATAATACTTCCATTTTGAATTTTAGGGTGCAACTATTAACGTAAAGGTATTAATAATTTTTACAAATAAAAATACAATAAATGTACTTGTTTACATATTTGCCTGGAGGAAATTCAGCATCAAACAAAAAAGTGTATAGCCAGTCATTCCACCTGATTCAAGACAATCAAGCTTATGATGTGCTAAGAAGCACTTTGCGACGATAACCAATGTACCTAATGATGGCCATCGTTCCATATATCGTCGTACGGCGACCGCAGAATAGTATCCACCAATATGGTTAATACAAATATCTACATTGAACTTCGTGTGGTATTCCTGGAACTTTATGATAGGAACCTAAAAATAAATCAAATTAATTTTTATAAACACTATATATATATTCATTTGAAAAAAAAAAATCTTACCCTAGTTAAGGCAATTATTGTAGGTGTACCATCACTAATATTTAGGGTTTCAAAAAGCTTTGCAATTGCAAAAATAGCACTTCTGGGCTCTGCGTGAATAAAACAAGCTATATCTATATCACTTGTTGGAAGATATAGACCAGTGTTGACACTTCCAAACACCATAACTTCCGCTTTTTGAAAATGTTCTTTAATGACGAGCTCTATTCTTTTAATAACGAATGCTCGTAACAAACGCTCTATATCAGTTGGTAAAAGATAATTTACCAACTCGATAATCTCGTAATGCAGCCTGTAAATTAAAGGATGCCAAAATGATCAAATATCCTTTAAGATCAAATGCTTAATAAAAATATTACCGTTGAGTTGCACTTGTATAATTAACATTAGGATCTTTAATAAGCCAAGGTTTTTCTGTTTTCTTTGGTACTCTCCAAGTGTCTTGTTCAAGTGCTGCTTGTTTAAGAGCCTCTCGTTTTAATTTTTTAATTTGCTTTTTTTTCTTAGCAACAGTATTATTACCCTTTTTCTCTTTTCCCCTTTTATCTTTCTTATTGGAACTTCTCTTGCTACTTTGTTCATTCACATTCAGTTGTAACCCTTTCCTTTTTTTTTTTCTTCCCTTTGTAACATTCTTTGATGCTTCCACATTCAGGTTACTTTTTTGAGTCTCATTATTCGATTTTGTATTATTACCATCAGAATTTTGTTGAACAGCGTCATTTATTACATATAAATGTGGATTAAACAGAGTTCCATAAAAGCTATTGTAATGTATTGCACTCAACGCACTATACGAAGGACCGTAGAAACTGCTAATATTTTGTCGTAAATCAGTAAAATGGGTTGCAAAAGGAGCATTTGTAGTAGCCAAAGGTTCTTGTCGAGGCATGAGCGAATGGTTGTTAAAGTTCAAAGTGTCATGATTCAACTGTTGCGAAACTTCGGCGTTTTCAGTCTGTAGCTGGGTTGGCGGATTGTAGTATGGAGGCAAATTATCACTACTTTTCCCCATTCTCTCTTTTTTTTTTTTTTACAATAAATTTGTTGTATTAGATATTCATCCAAAATCCACATCATGTGATATCTAAAATTTATCAGAAAGCCTATTTTCGAAAAAAAACGTGTCACTAATTTGAGATTCTACTTGAACAGTCATGTTTTGATTGGACAAAATACAGGTATCTCGGTAAAATTTCATTTCGATCGCTAATTTCTATTGGCAGGAATTATTCGCACTGTTACACGGATTACCTCATAAGTCCGATATAAGGGGGTGTCCACAGAAAAAGGTGGCTTTGGGCCAGCCAATCAGATTTTGATAATAACTGTCGTTGGTTGTTAATTCATAAGCAGAAGTTTTTCTGATTGTACTTTTCAAAAAAAGAAAACCAACCATAATAAAGTAAAAAAAAACCATATAGAATGTTTCATTAGAGCTGTAGGATTCCATAGCCAAAAATAAGATCTAATTCTCGTCCGTTTAAAAAAGTTAGTATAGTAATAACTTCTCAAAACCCGATAAAATCAACTTATTACTAAGCTAATTTTTTTAAATGAACGAGAATTAGATCTTATTTTGACTATGGAGTCCTACAGCTCTAATGAAACATTCTAGATGATTTTTTTTACTTTATTATTGTTGGTTTTCGTTTTTTTGAAAAGTACTCTAAACTGTATAAATAATATTGAATTTATTAGCCAATCAGACAAACTTCTGCCTATGAGTTGTTAATGGAGTGCATATTCCGGAGCCGCTCCGGAGTGAACCCAACCCAACTCAACAAATTAACAACCCTACCTAAAACCTAACTTAACCATATAAAAAAAAGCCAACAAAAAAAAGACCCAAAAAATTTTTAAAAATCGTACGATTCGTGACAATAACGAATATTATGCGTACCAATTTTGGGGCCGTGTCCAATTACATATTTTGATTTACATATTGCATAAATCGTATTCTTGATATTTTTATAAATCACTACCCTTAAATGCATCAAAAAGTAACTCCTAACCGGGCACGGTTTTAGCCATTCTCCAATTTTGAATATGATTTTCTCAAAATCACAAGCCTTATACTTGATTATTTTTTAAAAATTTATATTAAAGAGTGCTGAACAGTCAAATACATTCAATGTTTATTAATAAAAACTTTAAGAAGTATTCTAATTTTTTAAATCAGGCTAGATCAAAAAAACTCTAACAAATTAATAAAATTTAGATAAATTACATTTTTGTCAAAAAAATTTTTTTATTTTTTTGTTTTAAAGAATTAAAGTTTATATGAGTTTAAAAAATTAATGTTTAATATAAAAAAAAGAAAAGATATAGAATTAGTATATTATTTTTAATAAAATTTTTTGAATCTTTAAGAGTAGAGGATATGTAGATTATTTTTATATAATTTTATATAGTATTTTGAAATTTTCATATAAAATTGAAATATGAAGTGTCTTGTATGAAAAGGAACTATTTTTACATTTTTAAAATTTTTTTATTTATTTTATTTTTCAATAAATATGTATTCAAAGAAAAGATTTATTATAATTTACAAGTACACATTACATAATAAGAAAATTGATAAGATGCAAAAAACTAAAACTGTTATAAAAATCTAAAAATAGAAATTAATGATGTATGGATCTTCGAGAATCTAATAAAAAATTCTAGAAATGTAGATCTTTGAAAAATTAAAGTAACATCTAATGCTAATCATAAAGTCTTCATTTAAATACAAATTCTTTTCTTAAATACAAAGTTTATTAAATTGGATTTTTTGATTTTAGCATTTTTGATTTTTTTTTTGGTTTATTGTTGTTTTTTTTTTTTTTTTTGGCATTATACTAACAAATTTCTTTATCTTCAGGTCTTTTGGCAATTTTCTGGTAAAATTTTTTGTGGTCTTTCTCTCTAGTCTCTCCTTCAGTCTTTTGATTTTAATTATATATTTTAATAATTTTTTGGTAAAACTTCTTGTGGTCTTTTCTAGTCTTCTAGCTTATTGGTAATTTTAATTATTTTTTTTCTGTTTTTTCAGATTTTACTAATTAATTTTCTGTCTTTAGGCCTTTTGGTAAGTTCTGGTGAAATTTCTTGTGGTTTTCTACTTTTTGGTAATTTTAATTGTGTTGGCTTTTTTCTGTTCTTATGAAATTCTTGCAAATGTGACAGTGAGTTTGTTTGAATAACAGAAGAGACTTGTAGTGCTGATCTATAAAACGAAATATTTAAAAAATTTTATTATTATGAAGGAAGTTCATTGTCTTTAGGGTTTTCAGCAATTTCTGTTAAAATTTCTTGTGGTTTCCCTTGGTCTTCTGACTTTCTGGCAATTTTATTGTTTGTTTTTTTTTCTGTACTTCTGAATTTTACTGATTTTTATTGTCTTCAGGTCTTTCGACGATTTCTGGTAAAATTTCTTGTAGTTTTTCCTAGTATTCTGGCTTTTTGATAAGTTTAATTATGTTGTTGGAGGGTTTTTTCTGTTCTTCTGAATTTTACTAATTAATTTTCTGTCTTCAGGTTTTTCGACAATTTTTAGTGAAATTTCTTGTGATCTTTAGCTTTTTTGATAATTTTAGTTGTGTTAGTTTTTTTTCTGATTTTTGAATTTTACTAATTAATTTTCTTTGTCTTTAGATCATTCAGCAATTTCTGATAAAATTTCTTGTAGTCTCCCCTAATATTTCAGCTTTCTGTTAATTTTAATTGTATTGTTAGAGGTTTTTTCTGTTCTTTCAGATTATACTAATTAATTTTCTGTTTTTAGGTTTTTCGACGATTTTTGATGAAATTTCTTGTGATTTCCCCTAGTTTTCTAGTTTTTCTGGTATGTTTAATTATGTTGTTGGTTTTTTTTCTGTTTATCTGAATTTTACTAATTAATTTTCTTTGTCTTTAGGTCATTCAGCATTTTTGATAAAATTTCTTATGATCTCTCTTGATATTCTGGTTTTCTGCTAATTTTAATTGTATTGTTGGAGTTCTTCCAGATTTTACTAATTAATTTTCTGTCTTTAGGCTTTTCAACAACTTTTGGTGAAATTTCTTATAGTCTCCTGACTTTTCTAATAGGTTTAATTATATTGTTGGTTTTTTTTCTGTTTATCTGAATTTTACTAATTAATTTTCTGTTTTTAGGTTTTTCGGTGAAATTTCTTGAAGTCTCCTGGCTTTTCTGGTAGGTTTAATTATATTGTTGTTTTTTTTCTATTTATCCAGATTTTACTAATTAATTTTCTGTCTTTAGGTTTTTCAGTGAAATTTCTTGTGGTCTTCTGACTTTTCTGATAGGTTTAATTATATTGTTAGTTTTTTCTATTTATCTGAACTTTACTAATTAATTTTCTTTGTCTTTAGGTCTTTTGGCATTTCTGGTAAAATTTCTTGTGATCTCTCTTGGCATTCCAGTTTTTTGCTAATTTTAATTGGTTTTTTTTTGTTCTTTTGGATTTTACTAATTAATTTTCTGTCTTTAGGTTTTTTGATGATTTTTGATGAAATTTCTTGTAGTCTTCTGGCTTTTCTGGTAGGTTTAATTATGTTGTTGGTTTTTTTTTCTGTTTGTCTGGATTTTGCTAATTAATTTTATATCTTTAGGCCTTTTGGTGATTTCTGGTAAAATTTCTTGTGGTCTTCTCTGATATTCCAGCTTCTGGTAATTCAATTGTGTTGTTGGTTTATTTTCTGTTTTTCTGGATTTTACTAATTAATTAATTTTCTTTGTTTTTTAACAATTTTTAGTGAAATTTTTTGTGATCTTTTCTGGTCTTCCAGCTTTTTTGATAATCTTAATTGTGTTGATTTTTTTTTTTGTTCTTCCAGTTTACTAATTTTCTTTAGTCTTCTGGGTTTTCTAATTTTATTTTTATTTTTCGGTGTTTCACTGGTATACTTTTTGAGTTTTTCTGCATTTGAACTGTTTTTGGGTTTTTTAATATTTTATTAATGAAATTTCTTGTGGTTTTCAGCCTAGAGAATTACAAAAAGGTTTTCTAGTAAAATGTTAAAAGTGATTTTCAGTTGATGAATTTTCTTGTGATTATGTTTTTTTCTTTACATATTGTTATAGGTGAAAGCCTTCTTAATTTTCATACTATAACGACGACACGCCATAGGAAATCCTTTATGGATATATGTGATGTCCAAGAGAGAAGTATAGCTTCTGTTAGACGTTGTCAAGAAACTATACCCTTCTCTGAGGCAGTTTGGAAAAGGTAATACAATACTAATAACTTTACTTTATTTTACCAAGAAGAGATAAACCTTGTCTGTAGGAATTACCCTAGAGGGGGAATATCAATACAGTTTATAGTCAAAAGCCATTTATTAAAGTAATAACAAGAAGGGCTATCCTTAGGTTTCTGTTCCTAAAGAATCCCAAGATGTGTTTACAATATTAAAGGGAAGAGAGGTGTTTGTTGCTTAATCGCACTTGGAGAATTTAGCAGGGTTTATATATCTGTGAACTAAGCGGCTAAGCGGCTAAGTGACTAAGCAATTAAGCAACTAAGCAACTAAGTGACTAAGCGACTAAGCGATTACTAAGTGACCAAAAGGTTTTAGCAACTAATGACTAATGATTACTAAGCGACTAATTACTAAGCAACTAAGCGACTAAGCGACTAAGCATCTAAGTGACTAAGCGATTACTAATCAACTAGAATGTTCTGGCAACTTCTACTAATAATAACAATACAATAATAGAATAACTAATACTAACTAATAATAATAGATAATAAAATAATAATAACTAATAATAATAATAAGATAATAATAAATCATTCTATAACAGTAGTAAATATAAACATACTAAAAAAGAAGGTCATTCAAAGAACTAGTAATATTGGAAAAAAGAAGAAAGCAACAATGCTGCATAAAAGAATAGTAGCACTTAGTAAGCTACTGCAGAAGACTAAAAAGTTGGTTAAGGAAGAAGAAACTAAACTAAATTTAGAGAAAGTTAATATAGAGGTAGATAAGATAAACATAGAATATAGTTTAGAACTAGGTTACATAGAAGAAGGCAAAACAGTAGGCCTTAAAGAATAATGACAATTAACAAAAAAGCAATAACAGGCATTAAGAGTAACAGAAAAAGTAAAAGAAGACAAGTGTATAAGAAATGAAATCAATATTGCAATAGAAGAAAATGTAAGAGAATTGATGAAGAAGTAGAAAGAATACTTACTAGTATTCTAGACAAACTATACAATAAAATCAGAATCGATCAAGTATTAAAACAAGAAGAAGATAGACACTTATTAATCAGTAAACCAAATGCAGTACTAGAGCAGACAAGAGAATATTTTAGTAAGCAGTTCAAACAGAAAGACATAATTGAAGATGAAGAAGTAATAGAGGAGTTTTATAAGCCACTTGCAGAAGTCAAAGAAAAGTGGTATAAGAGGCTAAAGGCAGAAATGACAATTGAAAAGTGAATAAAAGCAATAGGAGAAACAAAAAATAAAACAGCATCAGGCATGTTGAATATTAAGTACAGACTAATCAAAAGCTTAAGTGATAAAACACAAGAAGTCTTTAGAAAAGTTGCAGATACATGTTTGAGACTAGGAAGGATACCACACAAGTAGAAGCTAGTGCAAATATATTCAATTCCAAAGAGTAAAGATTGGTGTTACAAGCTTTGTAATGTTAAACCAATTGCACTATTAGAAATATTTAGAAAATATTTAACCAAGATGGTAGCAAAAAGAATGTCTAGTATTATAAAAGAAAAAGAGATACTCAAGAGCTTAAACTTTGCTGATCTATCTGAAAACTCAACAGAAGAAGCAATTCATATTGTAGAAATGATAAGAGAAGATATAAAAAAAAGTAATAAGGAGTTGTAGTTGCTGATGCAAGACATGAAGAAAGTATATAATTTAGTATTAATAAAGTCACTTCAGTTAGCATTACAGAGAATTAAGTTGCCAAATGAAATAGTAAGATTTATCATAGAGTTATATAGTAGAAAAGAAGTTAGTATTATAACAGAGTTTAGGTTAACAAGAACATTTGTTGCTGGAGATGGAATTGAGCAAGGAAAGACAATTTTACCACTGGTCTGAAAGATATTTTATGATCCTTTATTAAGAAGAATTCAAGATGATCAGTGACTAGGATATGAAATTGAAGCATATAAGGTGCTGGACTTGCAAATGAACAAAGTTAAAATTAGAAAGGCAAGACAAGCTGCAATAGCATATGCTAATGATACAACTTGAATAGCAAAGAGTAAAGAGGAGATGCAGAAAATCATTCAGATTTTTCAAAAATTCTTTAGATTCAATGATATTCAAATTAATAGTTCCAAGTTAAAGCTGTTGATAGTTAACTTGGATGCAGAAAGAAAGAAGAAGACTGTTCTGATAAACAATTTTTAACTACAGGTTGAAGACAAGATGCATTAACAAGAATGCTAGAGATGTGGTTAAGTATAGAAGTAAATGAAAGCTTAGTTGTTAAAAAGTTAAGAAGAATTATACAACAGTTTATATGAAGTATATGATTTAAGAAGTTAACTATTAGTTAGTTAATATATATTAATAATATATATATAATACCAAATTTGACATACATATTACAAACTACAAAAGCATCTAAAAGGCAGCTAACTAGCATACATCAACCAATAATTAGATTGATCAAAAACAAAGTAGAGCTGTTATCGACTATGGAAAATAGTGCAATTATGCACTAAGGTTTAGAAAAGTGTAGAATATTAAATTAAGAAATATTTAATAATCAGTTAGTATCATTGCAAAGGAGACTAAATAAGCTAGATCAGATTGACAAAATAACAAGAATATAAATAAAACAGGGCTTTGCTTTGGCAGGAATGATATTAGAAGAAATAAATGCAACTTTGTTAAGTAACTTAAGGCAAATTTGGAAAAATAACTTGGCATGTCTAATTATACTTAAAGCAAAAGAAGTAGGAGTAACATTAAAAAAAGATGAAGGTTTTTGGCATATTCATAATATAGGTAAAACTGTACATAGTCTGATAAAGAAGGAAACATTCAGAGTGGCATGCAGAAGTTTAATAAAGTATAAAGTTTTTTTTACACAATAGTTAATCGATCAAAAGAGCAAAAGAATGATTATATGAAAGAAGTTTAAAGCTTTAAGAATGAGTATGCAAAGAGGATGAAAAGCAAAATAATTTGCAGAAATTGAACAAAAAATAATAAGTAATCAAGGTGACAGAACAGTTTGAGCAGAATTTCAAATACAAGGTATAAACATTATAGCAATAAGATCAACATGCAAGAAGTTATCACAAGATAAAATAAAGCATGAATAGATACTAGTAAACAAGAAGAATATGAATTTGATAATAGACAGAATAGTTAAAAAAAGAAGGAATGATGTACTCATAAATTACTGGAGTATATTATGGATTGAGGATAAGAATCATTTAGTGCTTGTAGAATATGTAAAGTGCAATTTAGATAATAGAAATAATGCAAGTAGTTGTCAATATTGGGTTAAGAAAAAAGAAATAGCAGGCATGTTGCCAGGAATTAGACAAGAAAACAAATAGAAGATTTCAGTTTTGTTAGAAAAGTTAGATGAATATAAGGAGAGTGATACAAAAAGAAAAAGCAATAATAAAGAAAGAGCTATAGATAAAGAAATAAGTATACATATGCATAAAATTAGTCTGTTAAAGATGCAAGGTTTTGATAGTAGTCTTGAAACCTTGCTATTAGAGCAATTGAAAAGTAATATAAAAATAAACCATACAAGCTTCAGCTTTTATACAGACAGATCATTAGCAAGAGAGAAAAAGAATTATAAAATAGATACAAGCTGGGTACAAGTAAGCAAAGATAAGGGTAAATTAATAATAGAAGAAAAAATTAGAATAGTGAATTGGTTATTATCGACAAAGGCAGAGTTAGCTGCAATGTGGATGGTAGTATTAGTAATAGCATGTAATAGTAAAGTAGTTATTAAATTAGATAGTGCAGCAGTGATCACAAGTCTAAAAAGAAATGAGCCATTACATAATATGAGAATATGAAGTAAAAGTAAAAACTTTAGATTAGTCACAAAGATTAAAGATATGTGCAAGTCAAAGAATATTAGGCTATCATTAGTTAAAGTTAAAGCACATAGTAGAATAGTATAGAATGAAAAAGCTAATAAGCTTATGAAAGAAAGTGCACAGCTTGACAAGATTACTGACTTGAAGCTTGAGAAGAATTTAAGATTTCTATATGCATTATTTTGAAAAAAAACAGTAGTAGAGATACCAACAAAAAAGTTTATTAAAACATTAACAAATATAATGAATGATGCAGAATAGCATTGCTCAAGTGCAATAAAAGAGCTAGAACCAGATGCAGAAGCACAACATGATTGAAAACAGCTGTGAAAGAAAAACAGAACTTTAACAGAAAACAAGTATAAATCTTTAGAAAAGAGCAAAAAAATTGCATTCAGAATTAAGTGTATCTCTAATAGTTTGCTAGTACTTGAGGTATTAAAGAAGAGAGTACTAAACTTGTATAATTCAGACATATGCAAAGAATGCAAGACAAAGAAAGAATCATTGAGGCACTTATTCAGTTGCAAGAAATATGAGAGTTATTGGAACAATATTAAAGAGTTAGCATGTTAGTTAGTATGGAAAAAGTTGTACAAGTTAGACAAGAGCAAGCTTATAAAAATTAAACTAAAAAGAATATTAGTTGGTGAAATGAAAAGAGATAAAATTAAACATAGAGAGTCATGCATACATGGTTTAGCAGTTAAAAGTATGTTTAAGGAGTTGTATGCTAAGCAAGTTTCATTTAAAGGTGCAAAGCAGAGTATTAGATTATATATTAAGGTTGTAGAAGAGATGTTTAGAGATGAAATTTAGTAGCAAAGATGTAGAACAGTAGTTAATTGAGAGAAAGAAAATGGAATAACAATAAAATTAAAATGAAAAAGAGACAAAACAGTGATAAATGAAAAATGAGGTACAAAGAAAGTTAAAAGTAAAGAAGTATTAGAGAATAAGATTAGATTAGAGAAAAACAAAAAAAGAGAAACTAAGTATAGGTGGTTGTTTATAAAAGGTGTTAATAAAATAATACAGAATGGAAGTAGTCCATTCTGGTTCAGTTCTTGACAGAGCTGACAAAGTTTCCTAATCTAAAAATAGGTTAGTATGACAAGTTGCATTTAAGTATAGTTTCTGTATTTGGATAATATCAGGCTTGCAATTGCAAAGGTGAATTACTAGAAATAGATAATGTTTCAATTAGTAAAATTTTGTATTAAAGTTTTAACAAGACTGTCAAAAAATAAAAAAAAAAATAAAATAAAAAAATAAAAAAAGTAATATTGTATTTATGATTTCTATTTATATATATATGCTTACAAGAATTTATATTACCTACTACTAAATATAATATGCATAAAGTATTCTACTTAAATTAGGTTGGATGCTAAAGAAAAATTAAAAATTCAGAAAAAAAGGAGTAAAAGAATTAGTAAGCAAGTAATAGCCTACTTGGAAGGATATTTTTTGATTAGTAATTCTAATAAAAGTAATAGATATAGTGCAGAAGAAATGTGAAAGGAGTTAGATGAACTGGCAAAATGGGTAGTTTGGAGAAAAGTGATATTACTAAGATATCAATAATTCAGAACTGGATAGCTAGATATATAATGCAACATAAGCAAAAAACAGTACAAATGATATTTTCTATAAATAACTAAGAAAGATCTATAAATTTATGTATCTGAAACTTAGAAAATTATAATTTTAGAGGAGTTGAAATCTGATATTTCTTTAATAAAAAGTTCTTGAAAAATAAACTGTTTTGAAAAAAAATTTCAAAACTTTATTCTTGTGATCTTGTGTAATTAATTGCATTATTTTTAAATATAATTAAAACTTAATTTGGTCTAGCTATCTTTGAAATAAGATTTGTTGTTTTTACTTCTTTTATAAATAATCTGCAAAGGTTTTTCAAAATTTATTAATAGATTTTACTAATTCTCATACAGATCATAAATTAATAATTATTTTAACCTTAGTTTATAATTTATTCTAATAAATTTTTTATTATAGTAAATTATAAAGAGGGCTTCTAATAATTTGATGGAATGAGTGATATATTCTAAAGACAAAGAATTTAAGTTAGCTGTAGAATATTACCTAAGGATAAATCATGTCAAATTTATTTTAAAAAAGTCAAAGAAACAGTAGAATACTTACTATGAGAAGAATTTTTATGAATCAGTAAAAAATTTTTAAAATTTTTATTAAACAAGTATTGCTAAAAAAAAAAATAACTTAAACATTATTATAATTTATAATTAAAGATATCTTAACAACTATTTTATAATTATTTGTTAAGAAATTTTAATCAAATTATTTTAATAATATTTAAAGTTATTCTTTTTTCTTGATGATACTCAAAAATTTTATTTGTTATTATATTTAGAATTATTTAAAATATTGCGAATTAATTTTAAATATTCAAATTATTTTGAATTATTTTACAATACTTCAAATAGTTTTAAAATTTATTGTTTATTAAATTTTTATAGCTTTTAGAGAAATTTAGACTATTGCAGAGTACCTTAACTATCAAAATTAAGAATACTATGTTTGCTGTATTTGGGAATTTCTTATTCCCTATTAATAATAAAGCAAAACCTGAGATCATTCTTGAGTAGAAATGATCTGAAAAAACCAAATCTTGTTATAAGTGACTTTTTAAGAATTTTTCTAAAGATTCAGAAGATACTTATATGTTACTTATATTAAACAAGATTTGCTTTCTGTGATGCAACTCATGAAAAAGTTGCATATGCTATAGCAGTTTGCCAAACTATGCTTGATCCTAAGCAAGATAGTTTGATGATTTTTGATAGCATTATAAAACACAAACTTTCAAGAAATTTGATATATATTTATTATATCATTATAAAATTTTTTACTCATATAACTAAAATATTTTTTATATATTAGAGAAGATAGATAATAATGAAACAATTTCCATATCAGATACAAAGAATGATATATTAAGTTTTGAAAAAAGTGAAACTTCAGAAAACTCTGAAAAAGTATAATTTTATTTTTTATATTTAAAATTAATTTAAAATATTTTAAATATTTATACATATTTGTATATAATTTTGAATATTATTATAATTTGTGAACATTATATTTTATAATTTTTAAGTTTAACAAATGAATAACAAAATATTTTAATTATTTGTGTTTTATTTATTGATTTTTAAATATATCAAAATTTTTTTTATTAATATTAATTTAATATTTTTTTATTTTATCTTACTAAATATATCTAGAATATCTAGGCTAGCTGCAATAAATGAAAAAATATTTCACAAAAATCTGAAATAACTTATATTATTTTAAAATACTTTATAAATTTTTAATATTAATTACATTTAACAAATTTTATTAAGCAAATAAAAGACTAAAAGAAGGTATAATTATTAAATTATAACTTATATATAGTTATAATCTGCAATATTTTAAGGGTAGAATGTAATATTTTAAAATTATATATAAATTAATAGTATATTTTTTTTATAATTTTAATTATAAAAATTTTTATCAATTAAATATTTTTTGAGCTTTTAAGTAAAGTTTTAGAGTAGGTTCTTATAATTTTAACAGTAGAAAATTATTAAAATTGGCGTAAAACTCATTGATATATGAATTTTTAAAGATTAGATATAAAAATTTACTATTAAAATTCTTTTATAGTTTTTTGAAAATTAGTCAATTAAAGTTAGCTTTTTTGTGTAACTCTGGAAAAAACATAAGGCCTCCAGAAGAATTCAAGATATATACAAATAGAATTTTTTTAAATAAACTTCTTATAAAATTTTAACATAATAAATAACTTATTTAAACCTATATATTGGTCATCTCATTAAGCATAATACATCAACTTGATACATTTGAATTAAAATGTAATTACACAAAATTTTACATATTAACTTACAATTAAATAAATATATTTAATATTTGAAGATATATAGAATATATTTATAAAAAAAAATTAAATTAATTTTTGATTACATATTGTTTAAAAAAATCTCAAAGTTGGTCAATTTGTTAAAAAAAAATTTAAAAGATTGAAATTTTTTTGACATATTTCTAAATTAACCAATCATAATTAAGTATTTTTTTGTGCTACTACACAAGTACCTTGATGTAACCTTTATGCATAAACCTGCAAAATTTCAACTATGATTATTATATAAAAAAAAAATTATAATAAAAAGAAAATTACCTATTTAAATTGGAAAATTATATTTATAACAGCATGTTATATAACACCTTATGTAATATTTCAAAAACGTACTAAGTAAACGGGATCGGGTACTCTAAGTAAAAATGTTCAGGACCCCCAAAAACCTCATAAGAACTGAAATCGGGACCTATCGAGATCTTATATCTAATATATATTGTATAATAAAAAAACACCTATTTATCTTAAAGCTGGACCCTAAACTCTAATTAAAACTATATAGGTGTTATATAACATGGGTGTTATGAATATAATATTTCTTATTATAATTATTATATAATTATTTTATTTATTATATAATTATTATATTTATTAATAAAAATTTATATATTATTTTATTTATTTAGTTTATAAAACTTAAAATAATAGTTAAAAAGCACTCTTCAAAAAAATGGTTTATTTTTTTTTTAACGGCTCATAGTATAACCACGTATTAAAATTTCGATTACACAATAGGCATTAATTTTTTTTTGACTTTATATATTAAGGGTTTACTAAAATGAACCAATGCACCGAAAGCGTTAAACACTATAGCTGCTATTTTTTAAAAGCTGAATAAGCAATCGGTACTCAGCGTTCCGTTCTAAGTACTGTAAGAATACTCTTCATCTCCAAAAAATATTTATAATCCTAATTCTAAATATGTATATAATGTTAAATATTATACATGTTTTTTTATTATACTTGATCAAAAAAAAAAGATAGTTTATTACCTAAGACAACTCATTGAATAATATCTCATTACAAAGAAAAGAAATCATGTAAAAAGCAATTTGCCCTAACTTTGGAACAGAAATACCTATGATTAATTGTTAAACCATGATGAACAAGTATCTAAAGGACGAAACGAAACAAGAAAATAGTGCTCATGGAGAAAAGGTATTATTGTTTATTATCCCCTGGCCAACCCCATCTATGTAACTTTTTCATGTACTTATTTCTACTAGACATATATCTATTTAATTTAGGTAATTGAGTATTATCCTATTTAATCTTAAATGACAAAAACAATGCGGTTCACTCTAAAATAAGTACATGAAAGTTATGTTTCATAGATGGCAGGGATAATTCAGTTATATCCTGGGCATTTGTGTGTACCCGAAATTTGCAAAGTATAATCAGCCGCTTACGCGATCGATTATACATAATAATGGTAAAATATATATATATATATTTCTCGTCTTTTAAAACATGATGATTATAATGAGAAGATATTAAAATTTAGCCCTCAGCATATCCAGATCGTAAACACTGCATGTTTTAAAATGATGAAATTTTTTAAAGACGATGAAAATGTTTTTTTTTTTTTGCCATCCCTAATCATGCAACGTGTTAATCTATTATAATAATCTATAACGATAAATAAAGCTATTTATACAAACATTTGTTGTATTTACGAAGGTTATTCTAAGAGTTGTTCACTATAACATCAACTGACTATGGACGAATATAAAATATTATAAATTTATGGCTATTCAAATTCATGAATATCCCACTCAATTTGGAATTCTTCATCTAAGTGGCCAAAAAGGTTTGAATCAAATTTAAAAGTTGATTTGGTAGAAATTTTTAAATTTTTAAACGATTAAGACTATTAATTATTATATTAGATCAGTGGACTCATCCCGTTTCACCGACTTTAATTCTAGCCAACATCAACTTTAAATTAGGCTAACCCTAATTACAACCTTAATTGTCGGTATCGGGAATATCTAATTTAATCAATCCGATACATACATATCGCTTTGTTAAAATTTTTTTGAACTTTATATTCGACCATACTCAGATTGGGTTTAAAGCAAGGTCATTTTAAGGTTCTTTATCCTTTGATACTAATCGTAAGCTTAATTAATTCTAAACAAATATAGTAAGTAGTTTAATCAAAATTTCGTTGAAGCTTATCGTTATATCAATTTATAATCGAATAAATATTGTGAAATTACTAATAAGAAGAAAATAAAATGATTATTAATACGAGTAAAACATGGTGTAAGATATCATTGCAGAAATCTTACATTTTGCGATAGCGATAATATATTCTAGATCTAGTGTAAATTATTAATAATATATAGTAAATCGCAAATTTAGCGGAGTTTACTTAGTAATTTTCGCATTCTGTCAAAAAACCTCGTTAATAGTGCTAATAAGAAACTAAATTTGTATATTATTAATAATTTACACTAGATCTGATATTTTGTCGCTATCGCAAAAATGTAAGATTTCCGTAAAGATGTGCTTCTAGCATGAATGGACAAGTGAAAATATGGATATTGGCAATTACATTCTACCACTATAAACCAATCAATATTAAAATTGGAGGATTTGGAATTATATTTCTGCAGCCTGGTCGGATAGTATTTGGGACATCCAAAACTATGTGATAATTAACATGACAGTTTTTTAAAAATAAGAAATTAAATAGTAAAAATAAATGTGTCGCTAATTATCACATGATCCGAGTCGTCCAGAGTCTGTAGTAGTAAGCTTAATATGTATGGATTGTATCGTTACTCTA